AATTTGCTGTTGTTATGATATTTTGGTATATTAATTTGCTATGATTTTTGCGATTCTTTAGACGTGGCAACAACTGACTTTGCTATTACTCAATTATGGGCCCATAGATTATTTTATATTATTTTTGATATTTTACCTTTTATATCTATCGAACTAACAGCAAATGTTGATGTTATGTTGCCTCATTAATGGTTAAACTTTGCTATTGATTTAATATTCTCGTCTATTCGAGAATGCCTTTTTCTTTCTACGCTAATGATAAATTCTTAAAAAACAAATTAGTACTAACGCATTATTTGTCCTCCTTCCTAGATGTAATGGAAGACGACGCTACAAACGGATTAGACAATGATTCGACTACGCGTCGTGGTCGCTTCCGGGTGTCAGCACCACCCGCGGGCCCTCCCGAAACTACTGTGGGTCGATTCCGGCTGGTTCCACAGACTGGTAAGTCTCTTTATCCAAATATTTATTTCCAAACAATGTTGTTGATTGCCTGGGCATTGCTTTAATTACAGGGAATTATGGGCCAACTTCACCTTTCCTACAGCGAGGGCGTTTCTCCGTTATACCGGAAGAACCCCAGAACTCCCCCGGTGGCACCAACATAACACCAATCATCGTCGTAACCGATCGGCAGGCGTCACCGGATTGGGACTTCGATGATGAAAAAACCGTAAGTACTAGCTATAGGGTTATCGATTGACTGGCATGTAACAATTAATCAATTAATCATATTGTCGAGCAGTTTTGAAACGACCTTCTACCAGCGATTTTACGGAAATGAAACAATAAATTTCAGATTTTTCAAGCATATTATAAATAAGACCCTATTTTCTCTAGGTTGTAGAAGAAAAAATATCAATACATATATTGTTCTACGTTAATGTTCGAGTAGTAGGAAACGTCATTTTAAACTGCTCGAATGATATGATCCATTAGGTAAACACACTATTTTTGTGGTTTTACGGAGAAAAATTATGCAAATAAATGATACTTTTTGTGAAAATCCGCCGATATTAATTATGGGCAAATCACCCACGACGCACCTAATCAGTGTTCAACTTACCCGTGCAGCAGCTTGAACCCAAAATTACCAACTGTCAGGAAATGTGTATGAAAAGCCATGACCTACCTAGTTATTATCCATCTCATATCTTCCCTCTCCTTCGGTATAAAAGTTTTATTAGTTTGTTTATTTTTTAACAATAATTAATAAGAATTAATTACTGAATGCTTTCAGATTTAATTTCACTAACATGATGGCGCCACCCACCTTTCTATTGGCATAATGTAAATGAAAAAAATGGAGAGTTGATTTTATTTCCTTTTTTGCGTAATCAGGGAAAAAAATATTTTGTAGTTGTGCTCCGCAAAAATTTGCTGAACCACCATTTACAATTTTTACATTAAAACCAGTCGTTCCCATTTTTTCATATAAACAAAAACAAATCTACGTATCTTTTTCTAGTGACATCGGCGGCATCGGCTGCGTCTAGAATTAAAACTCACTTTGACATCGTTAATCGACTGGTGATTTTCACAGTAGTCTGGAACCATATCACACCAGATCGAACATTGCTGTTCGAGTCCGACAATTTCTCCAGCAAAGCCTCAACGCGATCATTGTTGGACATGCGATTCTGCTGTTCGTCTGCCTGTTGTTGTTTAACTACCCTAATAAAAAATAACCATAAACGGACGATAACCCAAATCATTGAACTATTCCACAAATGGTTTGGATGATACCCAGAACACGTCGTTAAGCAAATTAACTATACAATTTTTATTAGGGTAGCTCCTTAATGCGAGCTTCGTACATCTCGACAAGCCGCTGCTTCTCGGCATCAAAGTCATCGTCGCTTCCGCAAGCACGATCCTGCGTGTGTACGTACGAATCCTTGGAATGGATCGACGAGGTCGTAATGTCCTCGAAATGTCCCGAATCGTCAAACGAGCTCTGCATCTCCGAGGTGGACATCTTGTCCATGAACTGCACCTAGTGGATGCCATGATTTTTCAGATAATGCCGGAGACTGGCTTTGCTACACTCGTCCGTTTGATCCACAATCGGTGAAATGCCATGAAAGCTGGGCGTGTTTGCATCGATGGTAGTCTTCTCCCGCACCGTTAATCTTTTACTTTACTCGACATCCATCCATTGCAAGCAATATTTTGATAATTGTTTATGTTTTGAGAGTTGGTGCACAGATAGATTGAGGTTAAGGAAATGCCACTGGTGTAAGTTGATCAAAATTCATTTGAAAGATTCCGTATAAAATTCAAAGTATTGTACTGATACTCTGTAGTTAAAAAATGGCTTGAACATTTTTACGGGGTGTCAGATTTTATTGCATAAATCTAAGTCGCTAGTTTGTCGGATTTTATATCCGTCAGACTATGCGCTAAGCTTACTTTTCTCTATTGGCTTAGGCCGAGTGCTGCGAAGACGGACCTCAAAATCGAGCCATTTCCGAGTTGTTAAATTGAACCAAATGTGCAGGGTAGGCAGCTAATTTTTTTGCACTAATTGCTCATTTGTCTTTTTGATATTTATTAAACTAAAATGAAGTTCATTGAGTATCTTTAAATTCCGCTAAATGCATCTTATCTTATTTAAAATTCAGGAAGGAAAATTTACTAGACAACTAAACTTTCGTTCGTCCATCAATCGTAGACCATTTCAGTTACAATAAATACTAAACATCTGTAATCTTATGTATTATTGCCTGAAAAGAAAGTTTTTCTTAACTACATTGAAGCTTTTTGTTCTTCTTAACATTGCACTGGATTTCTTTGATATTCATTAAAATGTCAGGAAATTTATCTAAAATTTACAGTCGTATTCTCTGAAGTTCAGGAAGCGAATGAAAAGAAAACGCTGCGTAACTTGAAGAACTTCTGACGCAATACAGATAAGTTCAGTCCTGTTGGCCGAACATTCTATATAATGTAGTGAATAGTATCTTGATGAAATTCTATGTGAGTAATCATACAGAGTTCATTGGACACATAACGTTCATGTGATTTAGTGGTGCAATTTCCAATTACAGGATCTTATGAAAGTTAGGTGAAATTCACATGTATATTTTCCACTGGTTATGTGATTTATTTTTTGAGTGTAAAGGCGATAATCGTCGCTTGCACGAACAGTACTATTTAAAACTACTTAATGTAATACTAAACAAATTACCTTATAACAATATCATGAAAAAGGATTGTTGAGAAACAAAAAATTAACGGTTCAACTTCACCCCGTTTTACGGTACTATAGAAAATACGTTCTGGCAACTACAAAAACGTTCTAAATACTTTAAGGACCTTCGGAAAATTCCATCAAACACTTCAACCTGTGCTACTGATACAATCAATACAATCTTCTTTGACAGATAGTGTGACATTTTGCTGGCTCAGTATCATGACAGTTAATGGTTCCCATGAATTCATCAAAGTCTTTCCTAAGCTTCCATCATAGTGAGTGGGCGTCCATTATCATAACGAATGTCATAATCATGTTATCTTTGTAAATTCCTAAGCCAAGACTAGGCGTATGTAAATCAAGGTTGTTGATCGAACTAAGGTATTTTTTGTGGTGTAGTGGTAAGCGTGATTGCTTCTCTCCCCAAAAGGCCTGGATTCAATCAAAGCCGTTGGTCCCGGGTCTATGAGTTGATGGGTCGATAGATAGGATCCAGGTGTGGGAGCTCCCTTCCTGGCAGCGGTAGCATTGGTACTCAGTACGGAAAATTAGATCGACAAAAAATAAATAAAGGGAAAAAAGTGTAATTTTTTGCGGTTTTTCGAGTCCACATCCATGTTGACATATAAAAAGTGTTGTTAAACGGAGATTTAAAAAAAAAAACTAATATTTTTCAATATTTTTTGGAAAAATCAAATCATTTTTTTTTCGTGGCAGTTACAACATTCCGTGACAGGATTTGAAATTCTGAAAAATTCCGTGTTATATCGTATACTCTTGCCACCAACTTAATAGAAAATACAGTTCACTTTCAATACCTTTACAACTTACTTCTTCAATTTGTCAATACTCCTTATTTTTCTGAGTCACTGCAAATGTAAAATGACAGTTTGAGAGCATATTTGTGTCAACAAACAGCCATTTTTTATCACGAACTTTGAGCCACTTTTTGTCTCACGTAGATGTATGTACCAATTTGTTTGTAAATGTTTATTAAAACGTACTAGGTGTGTTCTTTAATTAATTTGATTGCATTTGAACACGCAAAAAATGCCAAGAACTACACAGAGAAACCGTTACGTTTTTTTGCGGATGGAGCTTTAGCTGGAATTCCTTTCTCACAATTTCTAGCAGCCTGATGTTTGGTAGTAAGAATACTGATTATAGACCTTAAATCAAGAACAACATGTGAAAAGGGCATACATGTTTTTTTTTGTAAACAAGCATTCTTATGCCCTTTTCTCGTCACCCATATGACACCAACGCAAACCATCATGTTTCCCTTCCCCCTCGCCTTCCCGATGATGTTGCTGGTTTGCATTGAGCAACTCTCGGTTGGTGAGAAAAGGAACTATAAAGGTTTACAAAAAACTTGTATGCCCTTTTCACATGTGGCTCTTGAAATGGTATCTTTATTATCAAAAACCAAGAATGAAGGAATCCTAAAAAACAAGAATACCGGCAAAAACTCCATCCGCAAACAACGGTACCTCTCTGCATATCCCGCCAACAGACCCACTTTGCACGTCAGGAAAATCCCACCCACTTCACCCCTGTTTTAATGCGACATCATGCCTCACAAACACCACCCCAAACAGCTGTTGTTTCCACCCGCTTGAGACGCTGTTGCACAAGTTTGTTGACATCGCCTCACACGTGCTGCCAACTTGAGGGAATGGAAAATTCTCCACTCGGCAACACACGCATACTTTAGTCGCAGCGACGAACTCTCCACAGCATGCACACAACGAAATAATGTTTCTGCTGCACGACAACGACGTCCGTCAGTTCAGTATCTAGCCGTAGCTGCTCGCCGTTTGTTCGTTCATATGCGGTTACGCTATCGGTTGAGTTTTCGCGTGCTTTTCTTCATGTTTTTTGATTGCCACTTTCTTTCGGTGTTCATTACTTTTGCGTAAGTTTTCCCGTTATCGTCGTGTTACATTTGTTAGTGCCCGCCCGCAAGAAAACAGCAGGAATCATTTGAATTGGATTTAGTTTGTGCGCTTTGTTGCTACGTTGCAAAAATCCTGATGATTTGATCACCCTTTCGAGAGAATCGAGATGACACAGAGTGCTGTGAAGTGGTAGTGGTTATCTGTGAGCATAGCACGCTGTTTGTGTTTTAATAACGCAGAAAATGAAAGGAGTGTCGAGTTCGAATACATATTAGTTATCAATAACCAGTCAGTGGGGGGGGAAACAAGCATTCATTACTCGAAGGAGTCGACAAATTCACGAGCATCGCGATACTGTAGTGCACAGTGCGTGACATACATTCGTATATTTACTAGGTAGCTACAAATGTAGGTACCTACGTGCATTTATGGAAAGTGAAGTGATTGCTAGCAATTCCGGTTGGGCAGCGAGTACCGAGGAGGGTTCGTTACTGCCATAAGTGCCATGGCTATGTTTCTGCAGCTTTTGTATACTGTTACAGCTGGCCGATGGACTAGGGTGGCTCTTTGGCTCTGCGGAACATTCGAATTGATTTGTTTGTGGTTTTATTTTTAAACATTTCGGTATAATATCGGGTAAAACAAATACATTTTTTAAACATCAGCGTTATCAAATTGTAATTGTATCGTAAAAAAGAGAAATTTCATTCAGATGAAGTTTATCACGACAACACTGTTGTTTCTTTACAAACATTGTTGGTGGTGATAAATAAATAATTAACATTATGTTTTGAGTCAACCTGACCGATACAAAAAGATGTATGTAATTTTTTTGCAATTTTTTCCCACCAAAAGATAAACAGTGGGAAAAATGGTCCAGATTCGCACTTATTTCGTATCGCTGGTTTTGGGAGGTATGAACTACTTATTCTCAGGCCCGAATTTACAGGAGATCCAGGCGCCGTGAAACATGTTAGAAGCCCCACAAAAAAAAAACTAGAACTATGTTTTATTTACATAATGTCGACTTGTAACGCTATGTGATAAAATAAGTATTTTATTTTCTCGATCTACTGTACAAAATTATCATTTGTAGTTAAAAAAGTGCCCACTGCATATGACATATGCTACGCAATGTTACTTAAGGACTGTTCAAATACTAACTTTTATAATGAACTACCTAGCTTAATGCTTGCTTTGGCTTAAGCTCTTCATATAAGCAACATATAAAACTAATAAACACTTTATTTGAAGTAGCATGTAATTTTTACGTACATTTAAATCACGTGCTCTAGAATGCAAGTTTCATTTCAATATAACTTGAACTCAAGGATAAATGTTGCAATTGTATCAATACAGATATTTTTTTTATTTCAGCTGTTATAAAGATGATACACACTAACTAAAATAAAAATGAATTTCGTAGAACAAAGTGTTGGTACGTTTATGCATAATTTTCGGTGTCATTTTTTAACCCATGTTTCTTGTAAACATGGGATAAAAAATGACACCGAAAATTAATTTGGAAAATTGACAATATTATCTAAAAAATTCTCATACTTCCTAACACTGTAAGTATACACTATTCAATGACAGTTTTAATTAAATTTGAATTTAATATACACATTTGAAGCACATAAAATAAATTTCGTTCTTACTATTAACTAAGTCAGCACACTGTTTTCATCACATTTTGTTTTAAATCAAAAATCTGACAAAAGTTAAGGATAATATGTTTTACCCAAATGCGTATACGTATGTGTATAAGAGAATTCAATGAAAAAAAAAAAACTTAGAGAACCTCATTTTTTTTTGTGAAAAAAAATGATGGAAATATTGCATTTATTTTTTTGATATTTTGTAAATGCATGTTTTTAGAATACAGGTATACCTCGATATAACGTAACTGTCACTTTTGATTTCGATCGTCGATTTCTCGCGAACGATCATTCAATCCAGAGACGTTGATAGAGACCAGGGGCCTGGCTGGCGGCCATGTTTTTGATGCTTCCATCTGCTCTTGTCTTTCTGCTTACAACACGATTTTGCGTCCCTTTTCTTCATGTATACGTCAGGCGGGCCGTATTTAAATAAGGCCCGTGATCTCGCCTACTGTCAAACGTATAGGATTGATATGGGGTTGCCAGTCCCCTGATAGAGACGCGCAAAGAAAATTTCTGTCAAAACAGCAGCACGGTTTTTGAAGGATCTTTTAACAATGCCATTGGCAACCATGTTTCTTCGAGTGGCTTCAAATGACTTTTATACAGTGCCACAATACTGTTGAGAAAATTTGAACGGAACTGAATAAAAATTAAATGCGCGGCAACATTTTTCAAAAATGAAGCGAAGACGAGAGATGACAGCCGCAACATGACAGTATAATTGTTGTCATATTTTACTGTTTTGCTTGCAGCGCAATCATTTTATTACCATAAAACTACTACTACATTTTATTACCATACATTAAAATTTTCGATTCGAGATTGTTTTTTATCACTAATAAATGTTGTATTTAATTGATTCAACAATAAATAAATAACAGGTATCAAATATTTCGTGAAAACAATTAAACACTTTTTTTCATCACTGAGAACAAAACTCGATAACTTTTTCAAAGGGACGTATCAGCTTTTGTGAACAATGTATTTGATCGTCGATTTGGCGTAACTGGTAGCTCGCTCACGCATTCTAACACTACACGCAAACCAAACATTTATTACAATGAATGTTAGTTCCATTTCCTATCATCCTCTGTTCATGAACATCGCAGCGAATGTTAGAAGTTGACCTTGCAGGCGATGTAATGGTTTTTGTCTTTTTTTTATTTCGCGTTCGATCTAAGCTTTCGACTATACCATTAAGCTTTTTATTTATGACATTGTAGAACGACGCACACACTTGCCTCGAATCTCTCCAACAGAAAAAAGCATACGAGGTCGAGTATGAGAGGAAATGAGCACTTCGTGTTTGCTTTTATGCTATCTATATTCAGAAGCATGGAGAGAGCAGTGAAGAAAGTACAGGTCTGATAATCGGCTATGTTCGTGATTCAAGTCCAGTCGGCAACCTTTTACCTATTTTTTTCAACATAATTAATTTCACTCAACAATACACTCCACGTTTTTTGGTCTCCGATTTTCTTGCATTGGACCGCAGCTAGGTATATGGCATCCTCGGTTCATGCGGTCTCCACTAACATCCTTTGACGATGAATCTTACATAATTGTAAGCGAATCTTACATCCACTGGTTGGGTGTACCATCAGATAAAGGGTGATACGGTCAAAATTTGGTCAATATCAACTTGACGTATTTCTTTCAATTTTGCATTTAAAAAACCTGAACACCCCTCATTTTGAAGGTGTGTGTGTGTAGAATGTTGCTCCTATTTTGATTTTGGAATTCACTCTTCAGTTGTCAAAATGCCGTTCAAGCAAGAAGAGCAGCGTATCAAAATTTTGCTCGCGCATCGCGAAAATCCAAGCTACTCCGCACGCAAAGTTGGCAAAATCGCTAAAAGTTGCCAAATCAACCGTTACAAATGTAATTAAAGTGTTTGGGGAACGTTTGTCGACAGCCAGGAAGTCTGGATCGGGGGGAAATCGAAAACCGGAAGCCGCTGAGACGACAAAGAGAGTTGCCGGTAGTTTCAAGCGAAACCCTAACCTCTCTCTCCGAGATGCCGCAAATAAGCTGGGTGTATCGTCTACAACCGTGCATCGAGCCAAAAAACGAGCCGGACTATCGACTTACAAGAAGGTAGTGACTCCAAATCGCGATGATAAACAAAATACGACAGCCAAAGCGCGATCCCGGAGGCTGTACACGACGATGCTGACGAAGTTTGACTGCGTGGTAATGGACGACGAAACCTACGTCAAAGCCGACTACAAGCAGCTTCCGGGACAGGAGTTTTATACGGCAAAAGGAAGGGGAAAGGTAGCAGATGTTTTCAAGCACATGAAACTGTCAAATTTCGCAAAGAAATATCTGGTTTGGCAAGCCATCTGTACCTGTGGCTTGAAAAGCAGCATTTTCGTAGCTTCCGGGACTGTGTCAACCAAGAAATTTACGTGAAAGAGTGTTTGAATAAACGTCTGCTCCCTTTCCTGAAGAAACACGGTTGTTCCGTACTGTTTTGGCCGGATTTGGCATCTTGCCATTACGGTAAAAAGGCCATGGAGTGGTACGCCGCCAACAACGTGCAGGTGGTTCCCAAGGATAAAAACCCTCCCAACACGCCAGAGCTCCGCCCAATTGAGAAATACTGGGCTATTGTCAAGCGGAACCTAAAGAAGACCAAAAAACTGCTAAGGGCGAGCAGCAGTTCAAGGCAAACTGGCTTTCTGCGGCGAAGAAGGTGGACAAGGTGGCTGTACAAAATCTGATGGCAGGGGTCAAGCGTAAGGCCCGGCAATTCGGATTTGGAAAAGCGGAAACCTAACTGAATATTTTTCCTGAATTTTATACTAATTGAACTTGAAAAAGAAATTTAATTTGATTTTTTAAATAAACGATTTCACCGATTTACACGTGTTTTCCCTTGACCAAATTTTGACCGTATCACCCTTTAGGGGGAATTTTCCCCTACCTGCTAGTGGTGTTAGTAAGCATGTGTGAGCTACCAGTTACGCCAAATTGACGTTCAAATGCATTGTTTACAAAAGCTGATAAGTCCCTTTGAAAAAGTAATCGAGAATACTCCTTTTTGGTGAATTGAGCGAACAGTAATGTTTATTTACTTAGCTCGTTTGGTTCAGCGTTTGACGGTTCGTTTGGTTTTTCTTGCTTCAGTCTATGCGTGTCTCTCTTCAACGTATCTGATTCAATCAAGCAAAGTAACAACACCATCGGACAGATGAGTTAATCCCCCATCGATTGGTTATGTTGATTTGTATGATTGAATTGTTATTTGCGAAACATCGACGATTGAAGTCAAAAGTGACAGTTACGTTATATAGAGGTATACCTGTAATTGCTTTGATGGTTCATTCTGAAGTGTTGTGTTTGATTATCATTAATTTAGGCAATGCATATTTTTTTTTTTTATTATTAACTATACATATCGTCCATAAACAATACGGATACAATGATAAATGAAAAAGTTACAGAACAGTCCTTATTTACAATGAGAATGAGGTGTTTCATGCTGCTTCTGACAGTACTCACCACTAGAGTAATTTGTGTTACCGTGTGCATATTCAATTCAAATTTAATAAAAATTTCTAAAAAATAGCTTAACGTTACAAGATACGGAAAAATCATAATTAGTAAAGCTTAATTATTGATAGGGCTGGAATTAGGGTGTAACAGCTTTTGTAAACAATGACTTCTCTCGATGATTTCTCGAAACTCAAGGCACAAACACGCCAACCAACATAACCAATGGGAAGGGGAAGTCTTCCCCTACCCGATGGTGACGTTGATTTGAGTGAGCGAGTCTTGGCTTTCTTGAAATCATCGAGAGAAGTCATCGTTTACAAAAACTTTTACGCCCTTATTTCAGCTCTATCTTTTTTTTTATTATTTAACGTCGGTCTCTGTTCCGCAATCTAGTGCCAATCACCGACGGACATCGATTGCCATCCATTGACGGCAACCGAATGTGCAGGAAGGCAGCTTCCACACCTGCGTAGGATATCGCACCCATTCACAACACACATGGGCCGGGACCAACGGCTTTACTCCCCTTCCGAAGGAAGACGTAACCAGAGATTTTTATGCCTCAGAAAAATCCCACCGACCTCGGCTGGGGATTGAACCCAGACCTATTGGGGTGTTAGAAAGCAGTCACGCTTACCACTACACCACCGGCGCCGGCTTTCAGCTCTATCTAGAATTATTAATTTTCTTAGGTTGTAAACATGGGAAAAAAAATATTTTTTTTAAATTAGTATGTAAACTTTGTTCTACAAAATTAATATATTTTTTAGTTGGTGTTTATCATCATTGAGAAATATAAAAAAAAAAAATTGGCTTGACACACTTTACAACATTTATCCAGGTGTTCCAGATGTATCGATATGATTACGAAAAATGTTGTTAATTACATTTTAGAGCAAATTTAATATAAAATATTGTAAAAATTACGTGCTATTTCAAATGTATTGTTCATAAATGTTGTTATGTTGCTTACAAATAGAGCTTCATACTTGCCCAAGAAACCGTTCAGCTAAGCAGACAAACAAAAAGTCTGTGTCCGCTTTATAAAGTGAACATTCCTTAATGTCACAAAATGTTGCATTTTTCTCACCGCTAGAAGCAAGGTTTAAAGAGAAATCGACGGTTTTGTAAAAAATTGCAATATCGCAGTGGTTTATCCACCACTGGCGGAATCAATTGGACTTAAAACAAACATATATGGTATATATTTCGAAGGGCTTAACTTTGATGATCAATTATTCAAGTTTCTCTTTGAATTACTTCAGTTGTTTAAAACAAAGTCTGAGATTTATCCAAATCGCTATCTTCATTTTCACCCTATAACCACTTGAGGCATAGAAAAGTTTCTTAAAATGACTCCATCTACAATGTTTCCATAGATGTTCATCAATTTTACCAAGACTTAAAAAAGTTTTTTTTTTTATAAAAGTGTAAAGGCCCTTAGCAAAAATTTCCACCACTCAAATAAATTAGTCAAAAAAAAAGAAACATTCTAGAAGACATCAAACTGCTACACTCAATGGAGCAAAGCCGTAGATGTTGTAGTCAATCTTCTTCATCTACATAAATTCATTCAATTGCATGCAGTGAAAAGTGCGCTGAGGATCGGCCGGTTCATGAATCTTATGATAGTCAAGAGGTGTTGAATGCTTCAAAATAAAAACCACGTCAAATCTGGTATGGGAATGTACTAAGTAATGCAGAAACTGTCCTATCGTAATACGGTTAACTTATATTGTGTTCCTGACCATTTCGGAATTGATGGAAATGAAAAAAAAACTGATCAGTTTACAAAAAATAAGGTCATCCACGCAATTCATTGGACCCGAACCATTTTTTGGACTACCTTCTTGTGATCTCAAAATGGAGCTTAAGAACTGGAAAAAAAAACAAAAGTTCAATGCAACTGGAACAATTCCCGGCAATGTTTTATAAAGCCATACATAGGTTACTAAACCCTAATAATCACGCTCTGATAGCTCGATTAATTTTCGAATAGGTTCTATGGACATTCTAGATAGAGCTGGAATAAGGGCGTGACAGGATTTTTTAAACAATGACTTCTCTTGATGATTTCTAGGAATTCAAGGCACGTCCACGCAAATCGAAATAGCCATCGGGTGAGTGAGCTTTGGGTGAGCTTTGACTTTATAGAAATTATTGAGAGAAGTCATTATTTACAAAAACTGTTACGCCCCAATTTAAACTCTATGTAGATTTGGCGATCAACAAATCGATCAACCTTGATTCGCTTTCTGCCGCGAAAAGCGAGGTAGTTTGGCAATAATAAGTATTTAATCTTTTAATTTTTGATTATATGCACCAACATTCCAAATCCACCGCTCAGGTCGTGATACACTCTAACTTTACAGTACCCATTAATGAGTACAATTTCATACGTTTTGTGGTAAAGTAGGTTAACCATTAAATGGGTAACTAAATAACCCATTAATGAGTAACGTTTACCCACTTATGGGTAATGATTACTCATTTATGACTAAAAGTGACCAATTCAGGCATAACATTTGATAACGACACAAAAGTATTTGTAAACAAACTTTCTAAGGCCCTTTATACACGAACCAAATTACGCCCACGCAAACCAACAACGTCATCGGATAGTGGAAACTATCACCTTTCCGAAAGTGGTATTGGTTTGCGTGAACGTACTTTGGTTCACGTGTAAAGGGCCTTAGAAAGTTTGTTCACCAATGTATTTGTGCCGTTATCAAATGTTATGCCTGAGTTAATGGGTATTTCACCCATTAAATGGGTCAACCTACTTTACTTCAAAATGGGTAAATTGTACCCATTAATGGATACTTTCCAGTTACAGTGTAGAAAACGAATCAAGTTAATCGAATTTTGGTTGTCAAATGGACATAGGGTGGCGTCCATAAATTAAGAAACGCTTATAGGGAGAGGAGAGGTCACCTATATCGTTACGAATTGTTACATAGGAGAGGGTGGAGTAAAGCTTTGCGTTACGTAACAAAAAAAGAAAAAAAAATCTACCTTAAGTTTTTTGCTTTCGTTAATTATTCGAAAAGCAGGTACTCGATGTTACACTTATCTTTTGATATCTTGAAATAAATTAGGTATAAATCCTAATTTCATAAAATGAGAGAGGAGGGGTTTCTTTCAATGATATGTTTTGTTTCAAAGAGAGGGAGAGGAGAGGGTTCAAAATTTTGATTTTTTCGTACGTAATTAGTTGACGCCGCCTACACAGAAAAAAAAATCTGAATTCTTACTATCGCTTAAACTCTCCTTAAACGAGTTAATCGTTTTATTTTGAGCTATAGTTGGCATAAACAACGAAATCGTTTAAAAGCTTGCATACAATTTTGCTAATTTATGCTAGAGTCGGTGTATAATGAGTCACGCCAAAAGTGAAGCCAAGTCTACCTATTGAACTGTCAAACCGGCTACCTATCGTGCAAAGTAAACAAACATTACGATGCTATGAAAGGTCCACGAGAGGTATTGCAATAAATATAAAATATAATCGAAGAAATGATCATGAACACGCAGTGAGCATTAAATTGTCATGGGATACGTTTGGTAACGATCAGTAATGAGAATTTCTACTATTTTTTGTTAGGATGATTGGACAAAATCACTGATATAATGATTTACAACAGCCGCTATTTTTTTTGCTCCTTAGAAGTCATTTGAAGTTGATGTAGCAGTCCTCTGTTGCCAAGTGAAAAGAAAGGGAATCTTTCGAAAACCGTGATGCGAGTTCAACTGTTTTTCTCTTAGCGTCACTCATTATACACCGACTCTAATTTATGCGACATTGCTCTTGCCAAATCTAGCGTTAACTTTGTCTGCGCTATATATCGCAGAAATTTACATTAGTTTTTCAAATTTATTCAAATATTAATCGAGATATCAGCTTTGTTCAATAATTTTCCATCTGTCACTTTTAACTACGAGTTAATTATACACTGATTAACTTTTAAAACTGGCCCTGATTGGAGGATCGGCCAAATGTGTGTCTATGATCGTATTTATTAACACCGACATCAACATCAAGTATCATCAATCAACAAACATTAGTGATCGGGATTTAATATTTTGATAATACCGGTTCGAGCTTACCACCATAAGAAGACCGTTAAAACTAGGGTAACTGGACACCATTCGAATCATAGAGCCACCCTACACCAAATCTACCTCGCGGCCATCAAAGTTTTCCATTCGCCCAACTGAATCGGCTTTGTTTTCCTGGCTTTCTCCACTACGGTTTGCTGTGTCTTCTCGCGCACGGTTTATTTTCCTCAAAAGTATAGTGTTCAATTTTATGATCAGTTTCCAGAAGAGTATCATCAATCTACGCCATCAGTGAAAGGAAGATAGAGAACAGAAGTTTTTGATTTTAAGTGTGTTTACCTACGTACGTACCAGAGGCACATACTTGCAAGCGTTTGTAGTTCTATCAACCAGTTGTGCTGTCGCAGTGGAAATTTATCAAACAAAAATCAAAACAGTGTTGAGTAAACAAGTTTTTCTCAGTGTGTTCAAAACCATTCACGGCTGAGTCATTAGCGTTTTGTATCGAAACCATCGTGTTCACATGTTTTAATTCGCGCACCAATACCACTACGTGATAATGATGTGTTTTTTTTTTATTTATTTATGAAAGGAGAAATTAATACGAAGATAAAATTGTTAGACAGAAGCCAAAACAAAGCGCAAAACCGGCAGTGAAACAAAGTGTGAAAGAAGGAAACAGTGATTCGTGCAAATCCCATTACATTTTCGTTACTTCGGAAAAAACCCAAACACAAACGAAGACGAAGAGCGCTGAAAGGTAGATACGAAGTTTGTTGTTGCTGATAAATGAACCACCCGCATCTTCGTGACAAGTGAAACAAACACCAATCCAGAGTGTGATCGAGTGTATTGGTGTGTCCGTCGTTAACTGGATTATTAACTAGGCGGTGCGGAGCGGTGTCTACGAGAAGTTGTTTACAAAGGAGGTGCTGCATCGCTTGCGTGTTGTGCTGCATGTGGCATTTGTCACCACACGAGGTCAACGGGTGAATATGCACTAGCGTCGATCGTTGCCGTCGATTGAACACATGTAAGTTTACAACAGAATGTCGCATAAATGTAAAATGCAAAATGTCCCATACGAACACACATCGTTCTTTCTGATCCAGCTTTATTCGAGTACTTCATCCGTAAACTCTACAGCAGTTGAATGATAAATTATCTTTAGAAGAGTGCATAGTTCTTATCTCGGTCTGCGATATGCTCAATTTTACTCATAATGTTTCGAAACTTTGTAAATCGCAAGTGTTTATAAGCGTTGATGAAGGTTCCGGGGTCGCGCAAATGGTTTAAAGTTTGTATGGAGATTATGGCGAATTACTATGAGAACGTTTTGAATTTCGTCAATGTCAATGTTTGATTAAAAAAAAACTGAGGCCCTTTTTGAATAGGTCCTATGGCCTTTTGTCGATCAAACAATCGATTAACTTGATTCGCTTTCTACCGCGAACTAAGCGGTGAATTTGCAATATTGATGCACACTATAAAAAGTTAAGCCATTATTGCGAAAATATCACACTGGTCGCGGTAGAAAGCGAATCAAGTTAATCGATTGCGACAAATGGACGTATGAACTATTTATTTAGTTTAGTTTCATTCAAAGTGTTTTTATGTTACTTCATACGCGAAGTTTGCGATTTTCAGAGTAGGTTGGAAATGCTATCTAACATTCACGTTCAGTTTACTAAGAAGCTCTGGGCAATCGATATCGGATGTTAGTAAGCCGCTGGCGAAACAAGCTTTGGCTACATCTCTTCTAACGTTGAGTGAATCAAGATGAATCAACCTTCATCGATCGCATAGCTGGAAAGATTAGTACGGTCATTCCATGACAGGTGACGAAGTGCGTAACGTACGAACTTCCGTTGGACGGATTCAATTTATTCCATTTTGATAATGCGGCGCCCACACCTCAGCAGAATACTCGAGCGTTGAATGCACTAAAACGCAATATAATGCCTTCAAGCAATACACATCCTTGAAATGTTTGCCGAATCGAAAAATGAATCCCAGTTCTGATGAGGCTTTTTAAACGACGTATGATACTTGATCTTTAAACGCCAGTGAATAGTCAAGAAGTACTTCAAGATCTTTCACAGTGCTCTCACGTTTTAGAGAGGTACCACATAAAACGAAGTCTTGGATGGCCAGTGGTCGTTTAGGCCCTAAGGAAACAACAGAACATTTAGAAGCATTCAAGACCATACGATTCGTCTTGCACCAAGCTGCGAAAGCCTCTAGTCGTTCTTGAAGAAAGAAAGCGTCACTTGGTTTGTTGTTAACATAATATATATGATCACTAAGCTTTACGTACATATTCCGTCCAGAGGTTACCGTCAATTCATAATCTGTTGTGGCCAGGACATTTTCGTGATCTATTCTACATGCGAGCTTTTCGCCATTTGGCGAACGACGAAAGAAGTAAATGTCACAAGGTTGGTGGTAGTGGACCGTTTAGAAACAAATCCATGTTGATCTGATGAGATATGTTGCGAGCGTTTCTGTGATAAGAAGTCCAGGGCAATCAGTTCGAAAAGTGTTGACAACGTACACGTATTGAAAAATTAATCGAGAAATGTGATTGCCATGACAACGATAAACAAGTCTGTAGTTGTTTTGTTGAAATAAGCGCGCATGTTTAACCAATAAGAACCAATTAAGGGCATCGAGTGCCAATTGAGCAAAGTGACAATGGCCACCCAAGATCCTTGGAACAGGCTCCAGAAACCCCGGAGGAAGTTGCCAATCTCTGATTTCAACAAAAACTGGTCATGTCCATGTGGCATATCAAAATATTCTGAATGTTATGAACATGTCTTTAGACACCACAAAAGAGTGACAAAAGATCCAATGCCCCGGAACAAGTACCGGAAGCCACGGGAGAAGTGGCCAATTTTTTATTTAGTCAAAACCCCAGACGTGCGGTACATCACAGCTTTCAGAAATCTATGGGCAATTGGCATGTGTCCTAATGTCCCTGGAACAGGTGCTGGATGAATCGGAGGAAGTGGCTAATCTTCAATTTCACCAAAAATTAATTATGTGGGTTATCAAAATTTAATGGATATGTTTTTACCATACCACCTAACAAGAGTTATAATCGTCATCCAAAGGCCCGGAATACTTTCCGGAAGCCCCGGAGGAAGTGGCCAACAAAACCCATAAATCCATATTTTTTAAAAGAAATTCATGAATAATTAATAAAAGACCATGACAATTTAACAGAATGTTAATGGCCATTCAATGTCCCAGGAAAAGCGTTCCGGAATTCTCAGAGGAAGTCGCCAATATATGAATCAACAAAAACTGGTCTTCTGGCATATGAATATTTTATAATTTGTGTGGACATGTTCTGGGGACAATGGGTGGTTTAGTCCAAAATGTTCGCCATATTTGAGTTCGTTACAAATAAGAAACTGACCACTTACACCTAGGGTAACTGGAAATTATCCGGATGTGTTCGATGTGGTACTAGGCTCTTGATATCTTGACATCTTTGCAGATGTTGTGGAATTATAATGTGATTTGAGTGCCGCATGATGGGTTTTGGTCCAAGTAAAAAACTGGCCACTTCCCCTGGGTTACCTGGAACATGTCCGGATGTGACCAAATTCTATATGACCATCATTGATCATTTTAAAATCTCATGTGATTTGGGGTGGCACATGCTGGGCTTAAAATTATTAAGACTGATTATAGACTCACGACCCGTGTTCACCAGAACATGTTCCGCCTATACCGGAACCAGTTGACCGATTCCAAAAGCGTTAAAATTAAGATAAAAAGAAGGCAGACTCTCTCGCAAAGGTGGGCGCACAACAAGGCGAGAGTTATGATAGAAGAATTTCACATGACGAATTTTTCCCATCAGTACGTCAGAGTTCTCCTTTTAAGTTGGCAAAACGATTGGACAAAGCGTGGTTCAAAGGTCTGGTTGCAAGTCGGGACTTCATTCGCGTGCTGTCAAAATTTATGTCCAACCACTACTCGCTACACGCACATCTCTACAGAATAAACCTCGTTGACAGCAATATATGTAGGTGCATAACCAGCTATGATGACATCGATCACGCAGTTTGGTATTGCCCGGGTAATGACGCCTCCAGAGCACGACTGTTGGATACCCTAGTGGCCCGAGGTAGACAACCCTTCCGTGAAGTAAGAGATGTATTGGGAACCCGTGATCTTCCCTACATGCAGTCGATCTACGAATTCCTTTGTTTGTCTGATGTTAGAGTTTGATGTGACCATTCTCTCCTTTCCAAACACTTTCCAGCCATTGTATCCCAGTCTTGTTATCCTCCTGTTTCTGTGCTGCTTACCCCTGCCCAGCCTGGAATTGGTCAACCGTCCGAAAGTAGTATCTGACTGAAGGAGGCTTCAGAAACCAGTTAAATTTTTACCCATTAACCTCGAGCACGCCACGAGTAATTGGTACCCAATACTAACCTACTGCTGCTGTTTAAAATGTAAATTCAATTATTACTGATTTTTGGCTCCGCAAAGTGTCACATACAACTGAGCCTAGTAAATAAATGAACTAGTTAAAAAAAAAGACGAAAATGACTTTACTCTGTATACTAGAATGATACCAAAATTTTAAAAAATGATTAAAAATTTAATTAGCTAAATGAATTATTTATATCAATGAACATTGTCGAAATATAAACAATTCATTGTTTTATTCGGAAATCTCATTGATTATTTCTGCGCAGCTGCATATCACAAGGCAAATCTCATAGGCCAATAAACTCTTGCATGAGATTTCAGTTTTTGAGTTATTCCAATCACTGCGTTAAGATGGATGTAAATGGCAAGGGTGAATCTGTAAAAACAGGTGAATTGTGCATCAATTTTGTCAATGGTCAAAACCTTTTCTTGGTAAGTTTAATTGATCTAGATCAAAATAATTTCCGTCAATTTTGAAGAATAGAGGGATTTCGTTTTTGGCATTAGAACTGTTTCATCTATGTTTCCTAAATCGAGTCCTTGTCAAAATCGAAACCTTTTTCAACGTGTCATAATTCAATTGTGCCACCCCAAATCACATGATCTTACAATAAGAACAAATGTATCATGTTGAAAAATTATAAAGAAAAATGCTATCGTAGGACATTTTAGAAAATTATAATTTTTGTGTTGCCAAAAACGAACACCATGTTGCGGAAATTGAAGCATGATTAAGATCCAGCTATTTTTTTCCCCTGTTGGGTACATTACCACTGCGACCATTTATTTGATCTATTGTAGTAAATTCCCCGGTTTTTTTGTTAACCTTATTAGGGTGAAAAACTACTATTAGAAGTAACCATCAATGCCTAACTTTAGGTATATTCCCAGCAAGAAATTATGTGTCGTATGAAACGCACTACCTTACTAGGAGATGAACACCATATTTCAAAGGGCTGTAGTAGTCCCTTATTAAAGAACTTTACCCTTCTGTTAAGAAGTGCTGCACAGTTGCACAATAAATGTTCGGAGGTTTCTGTTTCCTCGTTACAAAACCGACAAATATTATCATCAACTTTTTTAATTAGTCTTAGATGATATTTGGCTGGACAGTGCCCTGTAATTAGTCCTATGTAAGTACATAGGTCTTTCTTTGAGAGGCTAAGGAGTTTTTGTGTGTTTGACGCATTTAGCATCACAAACTTTCTTGATTGTCGGGTTGTGATAGTATTATTCCAATTACAAGCTATCATCAGCTTTTTCCAGTTCCTTAATTCCATCTTGATGGAGCTTGGAGAGACCCCACAGAATGGTTCAGGTCCTAGAAATTGTTTAGATGCTAGTTCATCAGCCTTTTCATTACATTCTACTCCACAGTGTCCTGGCACCCAGTAGAGATTTACTGTATTGTTATTAGACAACTGTTGAAGTAACTGAATGCATTCCCATACTAACTTGGAAGTACATGTAAATGATTTTAAAGCATTCAAAGCTGCTTGGCTATCAGAAAAAATGCATAGATTTGCATGTTTATATTTTCGCTTTAAACACACAATAGTGCACTGTAGTATGGCTTGAATT